TCGCGCGGCGTATCAATGTCATTGCTAGCAGTAATGGTTTCTAAAGTCGGTTCACGGGACCGTTATTACCGTGGACTCTCACTGGCTTGGCGAACGTCACGCGCCCGGTATCTGTACTTTCGATCGGGACCATTCGTTTCAACAATATTGGCAATTTGCACGTACTTCATCGGGATTGTCATCCGAGGGACTGACAACCGGCAGCCTAAGTGGTTTCACGGCGGATCGTAAACGATTCACGATGTCCCCCTGCTCGTGCTATTTGCTTAAAAGGGGTACAAAGGAGTTATCTGCTTTGGAAGCGTCCAAGGAAACAGCAGGAAGGCACGCTAATGGCGTCCCGCTTATTAAGGCAATTTCTACCCGTTTAATCGACGAGTCGGGAAAGTTAAATTTATTGCCCGCGAAAACAATGTTTCGGGCAAAACGAGATTCCAGAAACTTGCACGATTCAGGCGTTTTTTTTACATATAAATATTCGAATAATTCCACTTATTGACAGAATCGTTTCCTCCATTTTGTGTTATTCCCATGCTCCACTCTGTCAGCCATTTTGTCACGGTTTTTGGCAACTCTGCACCAGTTTTTGCCACCCTCTACTGATACACAAAATAATAGGACGTTCTTATCGTCAATCTCACGTTTCAGAGAGTGAAAAGCCGTGGAAACGCGCGTCGTGTGCAGGGGTTAATGGCGTGCAGGAAAATGGCGGTGCGCGCGGAGGCAACTCAGTCGCCGAATCGTCGAGCGAGGCCTTAAACGTGCATAATTGCTGTTGCTTTTTACGAGACGCGTTCGAGTTACGTGCTTAAAGCTGCTCGCGTGCTGAAACTAACCAGGCGCCTCTTGTACTTTCGTGGCGTTCCAAGTGGCGATACCATTAAAAACACGCGATCCTGACCACCCCTCGCTGAAAATTCCGCCATCTTCCCGCTTCCGCGGTCTTTGCACCTTCCGTAAAATGATTGTTGTAAAAATAGCGACGAAATCGATTAAATAGGAAATATATTTATCATTTGACAGTCTGAGAGTTTCGTTTGAAATGACGTGGTAAAAAATTTGTAATAAGAAGTTTCCTTATAACATCGTTTCCTCGTGGAAGCAGTAAGTGTGATAGGCAACATTGAAAAACAGATGTTGCACGAACGAGGAACGTCGAAGAGCTCGATATCCGGAAATTGGATCGACAGTGATTTATTTAAATTGTAATCGTTAATGTATGGTATCACTGCACGTCGAAGCATCCGGTTCCAACGAATGATCGAAACTATTAAGACCCGTATGTTCTGCACAGAAATAGACGAGAGGGTATCTAACTTTCAGATATTAAATGATGGTACATGCTCGATTCGTCTATAGAGATTCTTCTATATACGACGAAAGATTAATTGACTCGGAATAGTGGCATCGACCACAACCTGTACGAGAACCGTTTTAACGTCTCGATCAAAGGTTAGAGGAGTCGATGACTCGCGTCGAAGGGCCCAGGGATATTTCACAACGGCCACTGTGTGTGTAAAAGTAGTCGAAAAGTTTAGTAAAGGGGGTCCAAAACGAGTTCTATTATGCCTGTCTGTTTCCTCGGGTAGTCCCCCGTCACGACCCACGGCGAGGGTCAGTAAATACCACAATGAAAAGCACGTTCCATCGAGATAGTTGAAACCCTCTCGCTACGAAAAATCCGACGGAAACATCAACATGGTAATCGATAACGTGTACCGCCACGGGCTTCGACGAAGAAGCTTATCCCGTTCGCCGAGAAAACCGCTTCGATATCCAGCCACGCTGGCTGACAATCGCGCTTGGGAGAAACGAACGGGTGTCCAGATAAAAGAAAACGAGAAACGAACGGTATCGGTCGCGAGACGCAGTGTCAACGACACACGGACGAGGAAACCGTAAGGTCTCGTGGAACAGTATAAAGTCGGTTCGAACTATTCTATTCACATTATCGCGTGTCCTATTGGTCTGTGATCCGCGCGTGGCTATTGGTGGAGAGGTACGGGCAGCGTGTGGGTTCCGCCAGTCCGGAGTCAGAGCTCTGTTCGCGCCGTCGGTGCAGTAGCTACTGCGCATTGTCTGCGCAACTGCACGAAAACTTTGTTGCAAACTTCTATGCACATTTCATGGATAAATTACGGTCTACACGTTGGTTCCACTTTTAATTTTTAATTGTAGTTCGTTGTTATATTTTTAGGAGCACTTCTGGGGTGGAAGGGACCAGAATGGTTGTAGAGCTGGGCGTAGACCATTGCACGTGGCGCGACAGGTTAGGTTATCGTCCCGTATAATGAGCTCCGCGTATCTGGAAACTCGATTACTCTACATAGCGGGGCCCGCATTATTCCGTCCCGTTCGAATTTCACGAGCGTTGGATAGTTGCAGCCATGACACTACGGAACCCGCACACGTGTTTATCCGCTAAAGGGGTCACAGGGTCAGATCGACGGATACTCGAAGACTGCAACGGATCCTGACTGCGATTAGCGCGACCTGTTCGAGTCTTCTTAGTTTAACGCTCGTTAGAACGTTTATTGTTGACGACCAGAGCCTGAATTAACCCCTTCATAACACAGATGAGGTTATACCAAGACAAATTTTATCGACAAAATTAAAAAATTTCAAATCGTTCTAAAAAAATTATTTTTAGTTTGAGAGGTTAATTACAAATATTTTTGATGAATAGACATACCCTCGAAATCCTACCCACTTTCGAGAAAAAAATTCGAGTAGGTGGATAAATTTTTCGATGAAAAAAAAAAGTTTCAAATCGTTCTAAAAAAATTATTTTTAATTAGACAGGTTAATTACAAATATTTTTGGTGAATAGACATACCCTCGAAATCCTACGCATTTTCGAGAAAAAAATTCTTTACCGAATCTTTAGGGCGAATCTAACCTAAATTGTTTCATGAAAATCATTTGTTCCCGTTCGATAGAAAACGGTGTAATTAAGTAATTTCTAAATGAATTAATGGTTTCAGTTGCTTTGTAATTAACGACGATTAGTGGATAGTAATTATCACGATGGCCTAATAATTATACAACGATTAATCCAATATGAATGCTGTTAAACGAGGAAAATGTTACTTTGTACGCGATCGACTAATTAACATCATTCTTCGCGTCGATAAGCGATCTCCGTTGCACGAAGTATCCGCGAGGTTTCTCGAAAGTATTAATTGTGCTCGTCGAGGCACGTAATCGTCGAAAGAATCTAAGACACGATGCCTTGGTCGATTTTAGGGTGAACCTTGCGCGGCCATTTTCATGGTCCGCGCCAACGTCGCGTTAATTTAAATATACGCCGCCTGGAATCGCGATGCTTCGAACAAGGATGTAACAGTTTCGACAATTAGTTTCGACCGCAGCTAGGATTGCATGGAAATTGTCAATCACGATCTCCCACGCGGGTGTAGCATCAACCGTACGCAGGTACAATAGTAATCAAAGCTTCCTTCGACCCGCGGTTGGTCCTACAATTGCGTAATCATCGTTGCAAACAACGCGAATTCAAAATATAAATACGTTCTTCGCCAGTCGACTCGAATTTTAATTTGAAAATCAACCCTTTGCGCTCCAAGAATTTTCTGCGATATTTATTACAAAATTATATTACGTATGTCCAAGCAAATATGTGGGTATTTTATTCGAGGTGCTCAAAATAATTACCGTTAAACCGAATGTACGGAAGTTAACGGTAATCGTTTAGAACGCCTAAAATAAAATAGCCACATATTTGCACGGAAGCATAAATCGGAATGCCCATATTTGCGGTTCGTTTTAACAAGATTTCCAGTGTTAATTCTTCTCGTTCACGAGATCGTGTCCTATTCGGTTTACCTTTACTCTGTACATCAAACGACGATCGATCGAAAAAGAAAAATCGTCCAAATTTTGTAAAAAAGAGTCGTGAATTCTTTTCAACGTCGCAGAGTCACACTTTCGATACGGAAGCATATTCAAGAATCGTTAGAAGCTCTAACAAATCGGAAAATAACAACGACAACGCGACACTGAAATTGCATAATTTCCCCGGGCGCGTACGGCGTGACGTTTCTCGGAATCAACATTGTTTTGGTCGAAATAAAAAAGAATATTTTCCCTCGTGATCGCGATCTAAGAAATCGCCTGCCAGAATTTCCGGTTTTCGACAACGCTGCAACGTTTAAAAGAAAAAATGACAGATGACCATCGTAGAGACTTATTCGTTACGTAAACCGAGCGCGTGCGCATGCGCGCTGAGAAACATTCTTCTCCAGTTCTGCATCTGCCCCGATGACGGCGGGTCTTTCTTTCCACGGTCGACGAGAGATCGCTTCTTGCGCGCGAAACCAGGTCGCACGCGAGCCATCTCCGTGAACAGGATGGTCAATTGCGAGACAGATGACTTTGCCATGCCCTGTTTCCTCTCGCCGCTGACAACCCACATGACAGCCCACTCGTGACACTTGAGGACGTGCTCGAGTTCTGATATTCCTCGACGTTCCTCTCTTTACTCAGTCGCGAAAAAGGTTTTCTTCCACTAATCGGTCCGGTTATAATTCGACAGACGAGAACTTACATGCACGAATATCTATGCAAAATAAAAGCCTTGTAGGTTACTTAATTCTCTTTTAATTAATTTCCAAATGTCGCATAATTTTTCTGAGCCTTCCTACGGAGGTGAATTTCGACACCAAGCGGACGTTTATGCACACTAATGTCATTGAGTCACGTAGTCACTTATATCTCTCGCAGGACAGCCGTAGTTGACAACCGAAAAAAAGGACAGCGAGCGAGAACGAATGAGAGAAAGCAAACAGCAGTCGATGAGAAGGATAGCGTGTGAGAGAGAATGAGAAAGAACGAAGAGTTCAGGTTAGGTTTGGGGGCTCGTTTTAAGAATCATCGCTGCAGAGGACAGTCGAGACTCTCGCTGTCCGCAACGACAACACAGGGAATGATTGATCGACTGCATTTTATCGGTACAGGTGTTTCATTTCACGTTTCTTTCGCAGGACCATCGAGCTGATCGCGTTGATAGCGATCTCCAGCACCCTCTTCCTCTTCCTGCACACGAGAGAGTTGCACTCGCGTCTGCGGAAAATGGAGGTGCGCCTTCAGCCTGGCGAGGACGAGATGCTGCCGGAAAATCAACTCTCCTTCGGTGAGTTTCACTCCTCTGCCAACGCCTTTGTAAACTTTCTCGACGAATGCGAGAAATATGTTTGGCGCGAAGTACACTTCGCCGCCATTAAATTCTTCCGCCGAGCGGATCCCCGTGAACACGCGTGGCGACTTTGTTACGGAAGTTTGCATAATGTTTAACGTTCGCACGAGCTGCCGGATGAAATTTTATTCCGCTTTGAATGCTGGAAAAAAATGCAGTAATTGCGTACGATATCGGTTGGAAAGTTACCTCGGTGAAAAGTGGTTCCATCGCCATTGTTTGCACCGCGGGGTAAATACTTGGATGCTCGGAACGGAATCCCAATGTCCGTGAGAGTTACGAATTATTCGCGGAACGTCGACTTTCCCACGGAAGTAACTAATGTGCACGCATCTTTTGGCTGGTCGTGGACAAATCGCCGACTCGCCGGTGTCGAATCGATCCACAGGGTCAGAAGTAGAACGTAGCCTCCGTTCGAAACTCGATATATATCGCGGAGTTTATTATCCGTCGTCGCGAAATCGATGCTTCGCCGGGATCTATTCGTATCGCTCCTGTCCACGAGAAAAACATTTGTTTCGAAACGTCGCGACGGATCTCGGTTATCAGGGGTAATGTTTCCTCTCAAGTTTCTCGATTTATGGCGAGTGAACCGCGGAACGGAATTGAAATACGTGGTTCGACGATTCAATTTATGTATTCGTCGAGAGTCTTTCGTCGGATCGTGCGGGGATTGTGGAATATTACGCGAAAGTCTGGGTTGATTTAAGGAACTCGAAAAAGCAAGATGGCGGCCATTGGTCGAGCAGGTCCTGACGAAACCAGAGATTTGTATAGACTCATTTATAGATTCTAATTTAGAAGTTAGTTTACGAGCAAATTTAAAATTGAATTTACCCAATTGCGTCGCGTTCGCCACCAGAGGGCTCTCGTTTCGCGCCAATCGCGCCGTCCAACATAACCTCAGATTCGTTAATTTTAAATCCCAGTCCTGCATCTGGGACAATCGTGGCGTGTGAGGTGTTGTGATTAATTCGATTCATCCGCGACGGGTCGACGAAGAGCGTTTAATCGCCCGCTGAGCTAGTTTCGTAGTAATTAAAAGACCCGTTTATGCCGGTGGTGTGTGCGAAAGGAAATTTCTAAATTGGCCCAGGGAATCGAGACACAATGAATCGACACGGATGCTGGTTCAACACTGGCCATCCTACACACGAATATATTCACTGTTCCTCGCGGAGGATCCTACTTCCCGGTTGAAGAAGGTCAAGGTGTGAGAGTGAACGTACCAAGTGCACGTTCGTCGTCGGTGGAAGCGTGCACTTGGCGTCCGCGTCGTGCGTGTATATGTGTATTAGATTATTATCATTTCCAGCGGGTAGCATTTCGCATTCGCGGGATACGTAACGGTATCGGGGTTCCTCGTTTATCTGTAATGCGCTAATTAGTTACCGCGGACTCACCGCGTGGCGTTTCGCTTTTCCTTGAAACGACTACCGTCTCCGACACGTCGCGACGCTTTTTCCTAACTTATCTATCAACCGTTCTCCTTTATCTCGCGATTATCAAGCCCCTGTCGTCGATAATTCAAATTTTCCATCGTATTTTCGGTTTAATGAAACGAAACAGCTCGTTTGCATTCATTAACGCTTCGGTAGGCACGCCGGGGTGTCTAATAGACTGGAGTTCATTATACCGCTGGTTAAAGCGTGTAGACGTAAATTATGGTACTCGTGCTCGGTGCATTTAGTGGACGAAATATTTTTAGCGTTGTGTGAATATACATTGAATTGCTTGGACCAGATGTGGGCAAAGTGTAGTCTGCATTTGCTAGAATAAAATTACACTGTAATTACGCTGTAATTAATATATTTTTTGTCCTTCCATCATCAAGAATGAGCAAGTAAATTGTTTCATAGTCTGTTAAATCTCCTTACGTGCTTGTCGTTCTAGAAAGTCCAAACAACGAAATATTTAAGCAACAGTGGATGTTTTACTATTCATAGTATATGTTTTTGAGGTTATGAACGCGGATGCAAATCCGCTTCCATGGTTTGTAAAGTGGTTTGGCGGATTGTCATAAATATGGGAAAAGGGACGGAGACGTCGAAATAGCTTCGGGTTATAAATATTAATAATTGAATATTCGCCGGGAGGAACGTTCCCGACGATCTTCCATTACGATAACAGCCGCGATGCAATTTGTATAATTATGAATATTCCGAGCATGCGTACGAAAGTGAGTGGTTCACCGGGAGTATTGAAAATCGAAAGTGCAGGGCGGGATGATGATGTCCGTGAATCGTTTTTCTCGGTTCCATTTAAGGTAGCCGCTATGCTGTAATGCGCGAATACGACGCGCAAAAAAGATGGTGGGAAGCCATGGTGACTCAACGAAAGAAACAAACGAATTGTTTACGTACAAGTCGCTCGTAAATATTTTATCATCGAATCTCTTGCTCTTGATTTCTCTAAGAGTAATTCATTCCATTGATAATTCACATTTTTCAACGGGGCCCAAATTCCTTCTTTTTTTTATATTTTAGCATTTTCTTTTATTAAAAAAAAACATAACCTTCAAACGACTTGAAAATACAGGGTGTTTGGCCACCCCTGGTTGGGGTTTTTTTTTCTCGAAAGGGCGTAGGATTTCGGGGGTATGTGTAATGACCAAAAATGATTGTAATTGATCCCTCCAATTGAAAATAATTTTTTTAGAACGATTTGAAACTGTTCAATTTTGTCAAAAAATTGGTCTATCTACTCGAATTTTTTTCCCAAAAGTGGGTAGGATTTCGAGGATATGTCTATTCACCAAAAATGTTTGAAATTGACCCTCGCGACTGAAAATAATTTTTTTAGAACGATTTGAAAAATTTTTTTTCGCCGAAAAATTTCAGCATCTTCTCGATTTTTTTTCTCAGAAATGGGTAGGATTTCGAGGGTATGTCTATTCACTAAAAATGTTTGAAATTGACCCCCGCGACTGAAAATAATTTTTTTAGAACGATTTGAAAAATTTTTTTTCGCCGAAAAATTTCAGCATCTTCTCGATTTTTTTTCTCGAAAATGGATAGGATTTCGGAGGTATGTCTATTCACCAAAAATGTTTGCAATTGACCCCCGCAACCGTTATAATTTTTCCAAAACGATTTGAAATTTTTGAATTTAATTGTTAATAACTTTTCATCGAAGCCTCCATCAACAAATTGGTATTCTTGATTTTCGTCTTATTTTGGCCTCCAGAATCCCTCATTAAAATTTTTCCCAGGGTTGTCCGAGCACCCTGTATATTAATCATATCAATAGAAAACTGGATATTTGTATTTCAGATATAAGTTTTCATCATCTCAATCTGCATGTATGCGTACCATAATAAATTTCTACACACCAGGCGACGAAAACTTTTATTTCCCTTTACGCGTGTTTCGATCGGGGATGACAGCTGCAAAAATATTTTAATTTCGCGTCGTTCTCCCCGCCGATAAAAGAGTAAAAATCGCCAGGTTGCGTTTGAAATAAACCGGAACGCGTCCGTCGAGGAGAACGTCGAGACTGTTTGCTTTGAAATTATGCATGAATCGTGTATCGTGGGTCTTTATTTGGCCAGCATCTTTCATCCGAAAGTAATTTGTTTGTACGGTAGAATCGAGTCGAGGGATCTCGAAGTTAAATGAAGAGATGAACGGAGTAAGAAATTAATCGAGAAATCATTTTTCGCTCGCTTGGTATACTACCAGACGAGCAAACACGACGGTACGAGGCGACGCCATTTCTCGTTCCTATCTCGAGTCCACCTCGCGACGGATCCTAACTACTTGAATTAATCGTTCAATTTGCAACCGTCGTCTCTCGTCTGGGATTCCCAGCGAGCTCTTAATCCGCAGCTGGTTACCTGTAATAATTGCACGATTTCGTTAATCGCGTTTCACAGTGAAATATGTGTTGTCGTAAACAAACGGAGCATGAAATGCTAATCTCGCTACTGTTCGAGTTCTGAGATTCCAATTATTGTTCGCGGAAGATGGAACGTCGACGATTCTACGTCGTACGTTAGCAGAATTAATTGCTACGTTAATTAAAAAAAATACAGACAGTGTTATACAGTGCATTTAGAAATTTAATGCAACCATAGTGGAAAATAATTTTTTCAGAACGATTTGAACAAATTTTTGTTTTAAAAATTCGTTTTTGATTTTTAGTAATTTTGTTTGACACCCCATAGAAAAATTGTCTAATACTTTTTTGTAGATATCCGTGAGCTCTGTTTCAGAAAAAAATTTCATTGAAATATATTCAATTATGGGTGTGCACTAGATTAGAGTATTTTACAATCTCGGTATAAAAAAAAATGGCGTCGTTCGAAACGAACGCGACGATTTTTCAGCCGGAGGTCTTTTCATCGTGAGAGTAGAGTCTTTCCACGAGAGAATGGATGTCTCCGCTCGAAGAGTTCATATCTCTTGACCTTGTTTCTAGCGTTCCACTTATTGTCAATGAAGGAAGCATTCCTCTTTACCATGAATAGAATGCATGGCACTCTCATTAAGGACAATTTGAAAAATGGAATAACACTGATGGAATCGCGATGCACGCGAATAACCGTGAAACGGCGGAATACATGGTAATTAGCCTGTTCTAAAAAGCAGCCTCGAAGCACGAACGACTCGGTTTTCGAAAGGTTTTCGTACGCTTTTGTTAGTCTCGTAGCGACGCCAAGCGTATCTTTCGGGAACTAAAAATATCACGAAGAAGCGCCAAATATATAAATTTATTTATATTCGAATTTACCTTAAGTAAACAGATACAAAATTTCAACTATTTTTATTGTCTAACTATTTTTCTCGCGTGCAATAATTTGTTGCTCGTCAGAAAAGAACCTAAGATACACACAATGAAGATTTCACTTTCCTCGTTTCATAACTAGTCTCATAATGCCACGATACAGATCTTCGATTTGTTTCTGCACAAATCACAAATAACATCACTTTGCAAAC